CTGTGCCTGCCACCAGGGGATATAAAAACGCAGCCAGAAATTCCCCTTGCGCGGTTTCATTAGCTCAATACCTGAGTTACTGAACCCGCCTGCAAACTTCTCAATAAAGCCTGGTTCTAAAACTTTACCAATTGGATCTTTAATTCCGTTTCGCGCCCCAAAAACCCTTACAGTGACCTTCGGCTTCTTGCTTCCTGACAAGGAGGCATGATTGGGTGAGTGGGTGGCGGCGGCCTGACTACACCGCAGAGGCGCTCCTGAATGTGGCTGACCAGACTGTGGCCCTGTGGCCAGCAGCCATGGCCACCTCTGCCGTTTCCCCAGGCTCCCCATTTCTTCAGGCAGCTCCTGAGCCCAGAGGGTGACGTCGGCGCTAGTCGGCATCCTTCCGTCTCTTCTCAACTTGTGTGTGATCTTTTAGAAAGAAAGAAATCGATATTTTTAACATTTAAAAAAAAGTGCATGGAACTATGGAATTGAAAGATAAAGGAATTTTCCATGAACTTTTTGAAGCCCCTTGTCTATGCTAAGGAGCCCTGATGGTACCCTCAGGTAAGCGTCTAACTGCTAACGTCAAGGCCTGTGGTTCAAACCTGCCAGCTGGGCCTCTGGAGAAAGATAAAGCAGTCTGCTTCCGTGAGGAAACCCACACGTTCTCCCCTGTCTTCTCCGGTTGTATGAGTTGGAATTGACTTGGTGGCAGGAAGTATGACTTGGTTTGGTTTGGTTTGGTATAGGGATGCTAGGACTCCGAATCAACTCCACGGTGGTGGTGGGCTTATAGCACGTCTTATAGTCCTGCCGCTCTCTCCCTTTCACCTATCCATCTAGCTCTCCATTTGGCTCCTGAAAATGTCTGACAATCACGTCCAGATGAACTAGGCCTATTCCAAACTAGCACTGAGCACTCTGAAGCAGATAGTCACCTGAAACCCTCAAAGAAACCATCTTGGCTCAGGTCGCAGGGAAGGAATTGGTAGGCGTGGCCTGGGACTCTTGCAGCCCTGTTGTGGAGACCACCCTTCTCCACAGCTGGCTCCTCACTTTCCCCTTCAGGTTCCTGCCACCGGGAGTCAGAGTGACCAGATTGTCTCTTGCCTCTGGGGCATAGCCTGTGACCTTCCTGGAACAACCCCCCAGCCCACTCCTCTCCTCTCCACCCAGATAATTCTTTCTTTTTTTTTTTCTTTCTGCCCAGATAATTCTGCTCATCCTTTGAGTCTCCGTGAGTGTGTGGGACCAGCCTCCACACCAACAGGGTCCTAAGGAGTGGTCGTATAATTAAAAGGAAATAAAGGACAGCAGACAAGGTATGCAAGGGCTCACCTCTTCCAAGGAGTCTGGAGTCAGAGAGAGAGTGACTAGTCTCTAACAGGCTTATAGAATCATTGAGCGTGCAAGCCATGCCATGCCCATCCATCATAGGGAGGTACTAGAGGCATACATGTGACAGGAAGACCTATCCGTAACTGGATGGGCAGGTCCTCCTAGAGTTAACCTTGTCATCCTTGAGCTGGCTTGACCTTAAGTGTCCTGAGATTTTCTGAAGGGGACAATATCCCCTGTGATCAGTATCAGATGGGAGTGGGCTGCACTTAAGGTGTGTGTGGGAGCAGACAATAGGCCCTGGTTGCTTTCCACAGCAGACTACCTTCAGGCAGATAATCTTCAAGCTTACAGTAAAAGCAACTATGAGCTTGTAAGAAGCATCTTAAAATTAGCATTATTAAGTGGGGGGTGGGATGGGACGACATTGTGGGGAATAAACTTTTAGGGGAATGTGACTGGGATTCATCTCCAAGTCTTCAGTGTGAAGGCCTTCACCAGAGTCTGCCTCCCAGACTCTTAATTAGGAGCGTAGAGAATTTGTCTGCATACACTCCCTCCCTGGTTCTCAGTTTCCCACACATGTGGACTTCCCTTTCTGGAGCCTTCTTTGATTCCTCACTTCCCCAAGAGGTCCAGTATAGATGTCTCCTTACTCCCATGACATTCCTAGGGTTCCCCAGTCGAAGGCCCGGCAACCAGGAGGCTACCTCTCCAACAGACTATGAGCTTCCTGAAGCCACCACTCGTCTTGTCCATTGGTGTCCCCTTGTCCAGACCAGCGGATTCCACATAGAAAATATTTGTTTTGTAGCCCAACTGACTCTTGAAGATTAGAAAAATTAATTGGTTATACGTTTTAGCTTCAAATGGGGGGTGGTAGGCAACCCAAGTTATTTTATTAACTGTAGCTAGAAAAATCCCCCTTAGAAAACGCAGTTAGGGTGCTGCCCTCGGCCGGAGAACGACATGGCTGCTAAGGCAACCCCAGGGCGCGGAGCCCAGCAGGCCGTCCAGGAGGAGTGCAGTGGGGAGCCCAGCAGGCCGTCCAGGAGGAGTGCAGTGGGGAGCCCAGCTGGCTGTCCAGGAGGAGTGCAGTGGGGAGCCCAGCTGGCCTTGCAGGAGGAGTGCA